CTTCCTTCCTTCCTTCCTTCCTTCCTTCCTTCCTTCCTTCCTTCCTTCCTTCCTTCCTTTCTTTTTTTGTAAAGTAATATTCTTATCTTATAGCATTGTTGTGAGGATTTTCAAAAACACATTGCTTGGGACATAATAGGTAATAAATAAGGAGCAGCTGTTTCATTAATTTTTCCTTATTCTACTATTTTTTTTCTGGATTGGTATATAAGAAAATAGCCCTACTGATTATTAGTTAGCTTAGTTATCCAGATGAATATTCTTGAAACCTTTGGATTGTGTACCCTAAAATATTTTTATTGTGTACTATAAAAATTATAGTAAATTTTTATTTTGAATTTCATATATATGTACATACATCTCTAGAAAAGGTTAAAAAGCAGTAGTAAGTAGAGCAGTAACATAATTGTAATATGTGAATAAAACTATGAAATATACACACAAGCATACCAAAATATAGACCTCCGCTTGCTGATTCTCAGTCATCTAATGAACAGTGCCATCTCAACCCCGTGTTACCATATGGTTGGTGGTGATAGTTCTAGGTTACCTGTGGGAGAGCTATGCACTTTGCAGGTGCTCTGGGACTTCCCTGGCAGTGAGAAATAGTACACTCAGAATGAAAACATGAGATCTGTTGTTATGTGAAGTAGCCTGTAGTACTTCGCTTTGGGGTCTGACCAAAAGGGACATTTCCTGGAAGAACACTGGACACCCTAAGCAGGTTCTAGATGTTTAGCAGCGGTTCTCAACCTGTGGGTCGGGACCCCTTTGGCGGTCGAACGACCCTTTCACAGGGATCGCCTAAGACCATCCTGCATATCAGATATTTACATTACGATTCATAACAGTAACAACATTACAGTTATGAAGTAGCAATGAAAATAATTTTATGGTTGGGTCACAACATGAGGAACTGTATTTAAAGGGCCAGAAGGTTGAGAACCACTGGTTTAGAGGCTGTTTTAGGACACCTGCCTTACATCAAGATTGTCTATTCTTGATTCTACCCACCCATCTCTGTCAGGTAACTGAAGCTCCTTAGGACCAGAACAGGCTCATCTTGGCTAAAAATCAGTTAGTTATTTTGCTTTCTTTCTTGTTTGTTTACTGTTTTAATTGGTTTCAGCTGTCAGTTCCCCAACATGTGTCACTCCTTCCTGGACAAGTAATTAGACTGCATGAAGTCTTAGAGAAAGAAAAGAAAAGGAGGATTGAGACAGAGCGGCTGCCAAGTACATCTCCGGAAGAAGAGAGGGAACCAATAGAGGATTATGTGGATGTACTGAACCCTATGCCAGCGTAAGGGCACCATTAACTCCAGTTTATTTATTGGATTGTTAATGTTAATTTCTATTTGTTAAGGAGAGTTAGTCAATGACCTCATTAAACCAGGGACAATAAGCTGTCTTGTGGATAAACAGCATATTTCTGAGTGCATGCCACATTTCCTCTTCTGTGTCATGATCAACAAAATGCAAAATGCAGATTTGAACCATCTCTCTTACCACACAGGAAATCCCCTTCCACCCACACTTTCAGACTAAACAGATATTCTTTCCAAAGTTTAAACCTAAATAAAAACTGCTTTGAGGAAGGAAGGAAGCAATATTTTTTCACTATGCAACTCTCTGATTGACTGATCTTCTACCAGAAAATTACACCAATGAATTAAAAACACACACTATCTACACTAATAAAAGAGAAACATGGTAATTGGCGTACGACCGCTACCCTTTTCATTGGCTAATCAGTGAGTATATGCAAATTAACTGTCAGCCAAGATGGCGGCCGGCAGCCAGGCACTGAAGCGAGCACGAGGCTTGCTTGCTGCAGACTCCAACGTTCCCCGCCTCACTTGCCAGCCTCTCAGTTGCAACTCTAAGCAACTATATACTATGTTGCAAATAAGAAGGTAAACAAACCCCCAGAAAACAGCCGGACTGAAACCCAGCCGGACCGAAACATTGTATCCATCTTTTCAGCAGCGAGGCCTCAGAGCTAAAGCTGGCCCAGAAAAAAAAAAAAAAATGAAAACAAGGAGCGGTTGGAAGCTTCAGTCACTCGCCAGCCGGAAAACAGCCCTCAGCCCCTCACCCAGACAGGCCAGGTACCCCAGTGGGGACCCCCACCCTGATCCAGGACACCCTTCAGGGCAAACCAGCCAGCCCCTACCCATGCACCAGGCCTCTATCCTATATAGTAAAAGGGTAATATGCCTCCCAGCACCGGGATCAGCGGAGCAGCGAGGCTCCCGGCACCGGGATCAGCATGACAGGGGGCAGCGCCCAAACCCCCTGATCGCCCTGAGGCTCTGTGTGTGACAGGGGGCGGGGCCACAACCTCCCTATCCGCCCTACTCTGTTCGTGACAGGGGAAGGCACCCCAACACCCTGATC